ACCATCAGCACCACAAAAATATACACAATAAAATGGCTACAATCAATGCATGCCAATTGACAATTACACTGAACATCAGTGGATTAACTGCACCACTCAAGAAACAGAGAACAGCAAAATGGATAAGAAAACATGATCCTCCAATATGCTATCTACAGGAAATACACCTTACCTAAAAAGACAAACACAGATTAAAAATTAAAGTATGGAAAAAACTGTATCAACTAATGGCAATAAAAAATGAGCAGGAGTGGCAATATGAATTTATGATAAAATAAGACTTTCAGAAAAAAACAAGCAGTGATAAAGGACAGTATCTCATGTTTAAAGGGTCAAGTTAACAAAAAGATCTAACTATAATATCCAAAAGGAGCTCTGGCAGCGTAGTGGTTACGAATCGGGCTGCAAACCACAATGTCAGCAGTTCGAAACTACCAGCTGCTCCACAGGAGAAAGATGAGGCTTTCTGCTCCTGTAAAGATTTACAGCCTCGGAAACCCTGTTCAGGGTCGCTATGGGTCAGAACCGACTCGATGGCACTTAACAACAACAACAACAGGTGTACTGGCTCCAGCCTACAAGCGTGGTGTTGCCTTGTGTTCTCACTGTCCCTGGGATGTAACACATTGGGGTTTGGAGATAGTACTTACTGCCCCTCCTCATGGTGGTCTATGTGGCCAACCAAGCTGCAAGAGCAGAGAAGGCTGTGAGGCAAAAGGACCGAACTCTGAGTCCCAGGTCTCAGTTCCAGTTATCTCACTTGCCTCCTGTATGACCTCAGAGGTGTCATTTCACCCCTCTGAGCCTTGCTCTGCCAACCTACAAAACGGAGATGATACTGCTGACTTTGTAGGGTTGTTGGAGGAATAAAATTGAAATGAGATATTAGCTCCTAGAACAGTGAATAATAAACCTATGGTGGGTTTTCCATAGAGAGCAGCTATTAGACAAGAAGGCTTCAAAAAGGTTGTAGGAAAATTCTATTGTCATATTAATTTCATTTTTCCAGGAACTTTGTGAAGCCTGCTCGTACTTTTACTTGCATTAAGTGCCATCAAGTCAGTTCTGACTCATAGTGACCTTGTATACGGTTTCTGAGAAGTGGTTGGTGGGTTTGAACTGCTGACCTGGTTAGCAGTTAGTCCTGTGCTTATCCTATAGTGCCATACCTGGAACCCATATTTGAGTAGCTTAAAAAAAAAAAAAAAACTCCCAACATTATCTCGACACCTCAACTTCCTCATTCGTAAAATGGAAATAACACTGCCTTAGTCACATAGCCTATTTTGAAGATCCTTATAGAAACTGTGTGGCACTGTAGAATAAGCACAGTACTGCTAACCGGAAGATCAGTGGTTCGAATCTACCAGCTGCTCATTGGAAACCCTATACAGGTACTTAACAACAACAACATAACAACTCACAAGTTTAATATTGTTCCCATTTTACAGAAGAAAAGAGATTCAGAGAGCTTCAAATTTTTAGCCAAAGTGCCATGAGAGAGTCTAGAATTCAGATACTCAGATTCTCAAGACCTGTTCAGAGCCAGAGGGAAGGCCCGAGGCAGGGCTGAGCCCAGAAGTTGGCTTTCTGTAATCAATCCTTCTCCTGGTGCTTGCAACAGACTGAAGCCACCAGTGGTCACTTCCGAGTCTAGAAGACAATTTCAAATCAGTACCTTGTTAGAACCAGTTCACTGCAGGGTGACAAAGAGGAGTGACAGCAATCCTAAAAGTATCAGAAATTAGGATCTAATATGCACTCGTGTGAATGATGTCCCTTAGAGGGCATGGTTGAAATCAGAAAGGGTGTCTGTCTGCACTCTGGGTTAGAAATCGGTAACTTCACAAAATGCTGTGCTGCCCTCAGTGTGCCTGGAAGAAAGAAGAGAACTCCCCACTGGCTTCTTTGGGGCCCCCTCTTTGAGAATCCCTTATCACCCAGGCACCTCCACTGTTAAAGGATCACATCACTGCAAATATGGTCCCAGAGCCAGTACCATCAGCGTCAAACTGGGTACTTGGGGGAAATGCATACTCCTGACCTGCTGACTCAGAATCTGTGGGGATGGCCTAGCAATCCACAGCATAATTAATCCATAATCCATAATTACCAATCAGAGTTATGATGCCATTGCTTTAGAAAACTGTGGCCAAAAATGCTTGATTTAATTTTGTTTTTTCTTTTTGGGTTATCAAAGTGAGCATTCCTATCTACTGTTTAAAAGCAAATATATAGGCAGCACCAAGGCGGAAAGAAATCATGACAGATAAAACTCAAACACCTGTGTTGAACCTTGCTCGTTCTTTGGAAAGTCCTCTCACATTTCAGCTTCCTTTTCTTGCCTCTTCACATCTCAGCTTCCTTCGTCTGTAAAATGGGATAATGCTGCCTTCCTCACATAGTCTCTTTTGAAGATTTCAGATAATGAATGTGACTTGCCTAGCTTAGTGCTTGCTGCATAATCAGTCCTCATCAGTGACAGCTGTGATTTGATACACACAGCTGTCAGAGATTCAGGTTTGGATGGAGGACTCTCCCACTGATGCTCTGTGCCAGGTGTGCCCCTTACACATGTCGCTTGTACTTAAACCCACCGCCTGGAAACCGTGGCCCACTGGTCTCACACATAGCTGCACCAAACAGCTACTTTGTGTTCTCTACTGCCCGCCTTCATCGGTGCATGAACTCATTGCTTCATTCATGTCTCCATGTGTGCGTAGAAACCTAGGCAAGCAGCCATTCCTAGGGACATTGCAGGACAACCTCATTGAGATGGACATTCTCAGCGCCACCCGCCATGATGGGGCTTACAGTGACGGGTAGGTGACATCCCCATGCTCCTCCTCTCTGTGTCTACTCCCCCCGCGACTCCTGCACTTGCATGCAAACCCTGAGACCTTTCCCTGGGACCTCTCGGGGGAGACAGTGTCCCATTGCATGTCCATCCCCAAGTCCATGTTCACTTATCAAGAGTTTATCCTCAGACTATTCTGTCCCCCAACATATTAACAGCATCCTTGTTAATATGCAGCTTCTGCCATCTCATTGGCTGCCTTTGCCATTTTGAAAATCATCTCATGGAGCAATGTTTTAGGTAGCACAGGCCCTTTGAGTCTGTATTCTGTAACCTGAAGCTTCTTAAATCTCAGTAGGGATGGGGCTACCCTGAAACTGGGAGTGAGACTTCCCAGGCTGTGTGTGCAAATCCTCCAATGGCCATGGTTAAAGCCAAGCTGAGTAGGATTTCCTGACACCTAGATTGGCCACAACCATGTGCGCCGACTGTCCCCTGCTTCCCCTTAGGACTGTCTGGGCTGTAGGATACAGTGCCCATTTGCCCTCCAAGCAGCTTTCACCAGGACCTCAGACGTCAGCATTCTGGCTTCTGAACACAGTTCTCTGAAAGCATTGGCCGCCATTGACTGTGTAGCGTTACTGGGGGGCTCTTGGCTATGGCGGAGCTTCATGATAGTGTCTTGGCTCCAACTCCTACAATACCCCCTTGAAAAAAGAGGGTATCTATTCCTTAATCAAGGTACACTGGCAAAGCATTATTGGAGGGAGAAGAATATTCTAGGTTCTGTTATCTCCAGAGAGCAGAATAGAATGCGAGATAGTTTCCAAGTTACTGTAATACCGTTACAAAACAGGTAGCTTATTCCTTAAGAAACAACATCCCAGCCCCATCCCTTCCCATGAAAAAGATCCCAAGGCCCAGTCGGTGATGCCTTCTGCCGTAGCTTGGGTAGTTTTCCCCCCTGGTAGGGCTGCCCCATTCATGTTCCGTGACAGCGTGTCTTTGTGTGCTGTTTTTGTGGTCTGGTACTTGGGGCTCCTTTTTTTCCATCCCCTCCTGTCTTTTCTGTGGTAACTGTTTCTCCAGGCTCCTCTGCATGCTTCTTCTTCTCCTGGTTTGTGGAGAGTTCCTGGTAACCAGCAGCCCCTCATGCCCTCACGCTTCTCTCCACCCACAGGCACTTCCTCTTCAAGCCGGGAGGCACCTCCCCGCTCTTCTGCACCACGTCACCTGGGTACCCACTGACGTCCAGCACAGTGTACTCTCCTCCGCCCCGACCCCTACCCCGCAGCACGTTCGCCCGGCCAGCCTTCAACCTCAAGAAACCCTCCAAGTACTGTAACTGGAAATGTGCAGCCTTGAGTGCCATCGTCATCTCAGCCACACTGGTCATCCTGCTGGCTTACTTTGTGGGTAAGCACCTCCCTTAGCCCAGTTTCCCTCCACTCCCCTCTTGGCCCAGAGGACTTCCACCAAGTCACCCGTGGGCACTGAAGGTAGCTTTCCAACATGGCAGACAGAGCACCAAGGGTGAGCCAAACAGCCTTGGAATGCTGGGCTGACGTGCACCCGGAAATCTGTCAGTGGTCCGCCCTTCCTCCCCACCACGCTTCTGCATGCTAACAGAGATGTGCTCATAACCAGAAAGAAACCTTAGCATCTCTTCTGCCGTGTGCTGGATTGTTGCACACCTAGCATTGAGGCATAAACATTCTCTTAGGTTGAGCCTTTGAGGGAAGTGTTACTACAAATGAAATGACAAGTTGGCGAGGCTGGGTCAGAGGCAGGACTCTCCCGCTGGTGCCACATAGCTGAGAAGAAGATGGAGTTAGAGGGAAACTGGCAAAGACTGCATTGGGCTGACCTCAATCCAGGAAAGCATGTCTGGAGGGTCCAGAGTTAATCCTCAGTCAGGAAACCAGGGAAATCCTCACTGAGGAGCAGAGGGTCCCAATGAGCAAAAAAGAGCTCAGCAGAGGAAAGCACTGACTGGGCGCTGCTTCTCTGGTCTCAGAGCACTTCCCACAGATTAGAAACTTCTTCTGATCCTGCTAAAACAGGTTGGCTCCCACCGGGCAGCCATTCCATGTATTGGTAACACCGTCTGGTTACTTCTCACCTCTCTCTTGGGCCTTCTCCCAGAGAAGATATTAATCTGACGAAATCTGTGCATTGTGTAGCATTTACTGCCTTTAGGTAAAACAGCCTATTGATAAAGGCATACAAAGAGAGAGTGCTTCAATTCTCAATGTCATTTCTACCCCTCAGATTCCGGGTGAGATTCTAAGGTTTAACATAGGTCAGGGGTGGCTTGAGAAGGCCTTGAACCCTTGTTAAAGGATTCGGAAATAATTTTGTAAGCAAAGGGCTTTGTTGTGGTGCTGGTGATGGTAGTTTTTTGTTTTGTTTTATTTTGGTTCTCATTTTGTTTCAACAGATTGAAACAAAACTAGTGGAAGAGGGAAAAGTGCCTTTCAATGTGAAAACGAACTTTGTAGCAAGCTGGAGGAAAAGATCTGTGTTGAGACGTAGTAGGTTCTCAGTTACTAAAAATGCTGAAAAGAGCAGGGGTTAATAGAATGTGGAGAAGGAATTTGAGCAGGAATGAGTGGGAGTGATTGATGTCAACTATAAGGCCACTTCTCTCTGAAGATGCCTGAATTTTATTGAAACAAGTACTCAGGAAGATGACAATGCTGCAGATAGGGAGGTCTCCACCATAGGATAAGTACTCAACTACAAGGTTAGTTTGAGCCACAAGGCGTCACTTAACAACAGTAATAAACTTCCTCTCATGTGTCAGGTCTTTTTTTACCTTCGGGAAGATTGACTTAGCCCTAAGACCAGGCTGGCATATATGTTTCATCTTTGCTTCTCTTTGACATAGTGGTTTCTTCTTAGAACACTATGTTGAGAAGGATTCTGAGGCCATATTCAGATTCAATGAGAAAGCGTCTCTGTGATTGATTAGTGATGTCTGTGGTGGTCAGGAGTGTGGAGAACACCGATGCCGTGGTGCCTGGTATTGGTCTTTGCTGCTTTAAGTCACTGAATAAGGAACAGCCAAACTTTGCGAGGTCAGAACCTATCCAGGCTCTCTGAGAGAAATGTCACTGAATTGAGATACAGGTGAGGGTTATGGGGTTTCAATGACCTTTTGATACCACCAATGGTGTGTCCTCACCAACCATTGGCACGGACTGTGCTTTTAACTGACATTATTATATTTCCTAAATGAGGAAACTGCTGGACAGATAGTTAAGACCCTTTGAGAAAGTGTCTTTGCTAAGTGTCAAGTAGCTTACTATATATAGCCATCAGCTTGCTTTGCATTAAAGTTTTAAGGTTTATACCGAACCTAGTTCAGGTAGAAAGAATAAATGCTTACACGATATAAAAAGTGCTCTCCTGTTTTCAATCCTCTGGGCTTCTTTCTTCTAATAAGAAGACATAATCAGTCTTTGTCCTCAGATAGAAGCCGGTGCAGGAGATAATGAGCTCCTTGTCATAGGGTGGGTGCAAACAGAGTCTTGATGACCACTTAACAAGAATGAGACTCAAGCACCGACTAGATGGCTCAAGTTGTCTCCTAACATTGATAGTCTTTGATCTACGGCTTTATAAATGCTACTGTTTCATTCAGCAAACCAAGTGGAGTACTTGCTTTGATCCAGACATTGTGCTAAGTGCTAGGGCTAGAGAATGAAGATACGCTCCCTACCCTTGAGGTATTCATAGCTTAAAAGATTCAGCTGTGTAAGCAGGCGAGTATGAAACCGTGACTGAGGCAGCTGTGGAAGTACCCAGCCCTCCCGAGAAGGAAAGAGGGCATATTAGCGTTAGCAAATATGCATTAACTCAGCTCGAGCATACATGAAGGAAGCGTAGTCCAAATTGAGGGAACTTCCAAAGGCTTGAAAGAGGGTGGTTTAAAGCAAAGACATTTCCTTTGGAGGAAGCATTTGAGGGGTGTCGGGGAAGGGACACGGATGGAGTTAATATAGCTAATAATGTAGTTAATAATGGTCACATTATGCAGTCAGTGTAGAGGCCAAATTAAGGCCCTTATTGGATGAGCAATGGGAAGACACTGAAGGATTGCAAGCAGTGGTAGGACACAGTCCGATTTCATCTTAGATAAATCAGGGGAGAGGACGGCTAGAAGGGCGACCTGTAAGGGAAGTATTGCAGTAACCTGGTCAGGAAAAACAGGAGACCTGAACTAAGACAGTGATGATGTATGAAGAGGAAGGGGTGGGTCGATCTGAGAGCAACTTAGGAGCATTTGTGTCTCTCGTTAGGAATGGTCAGTTCATCAATAACATGTCCTTGGCAAGAATAATCGTATATCCTTCTGATGAAATTCTAACTCCAAAACCGGGAGTAGTGTATCTTTCATTCAAGGAAGAGAAGATCCTAGGACCATCAAGAGGGAAGAGCATGAGCGGAGCGTAGGATCCCAATCAGAGAAGCAGTGACACCAGAGACAATAGCAGAGGTTTGGGCATAGAGAGATAGAGCAAGGATTGGGTCAGATTGGCAAGTCCTTTAGTACCCCGAGACTCAGCAAGCTGTTGGGGAAGAGGTTAGACCCCTGGATTCCATTCCTAACTCTGCCACATAGCAGCTGTATACCTTTGGGCAATCACTCATTTTTCTGAGCCCCCTGATTCTTCACCTAGAAAATAGGCACCGCTCATTTCATCTGCAAGGTGTTTGTGAGCTCCGAGTAAGCTAATGTGGCTGAGCGGGAGGCATCCTGATTGCTTGGTCTCCTCCAGTTGCTGGGGGCAAGGGACGTACATCTTGTTGGTTGGTCATAATTACAGGCTGTGATGACTAACTTGTAAGGAACTATCAATTATTAAAAATCAAATTAATTGTCTCAGCAAAGCACAAATATCCTTAACAAAGACTCTTTCCAGCAGACCAACTGATCTAATCAACAGGCAAAAGCACAGATATTTAATTAGATTTTTGATGAAAAATTGTGTTTAATTTCAAGTATAATCAATTATTAATTACTGTAATGAGTGAGTCTGACTGGGTTTACTAATTAACTCATTTAAAAATTATGAATAACCTTTTCATTTGTAATTATTTTCTACATCCTATCAAGTTCCAGATAAGAATTGTATTGCTTCACCAGCAGAGGGGAAGGCAAAAACAAAGGGTTGAAAAGAATTTTTCTTTCTCCAGTATCTGCTCCAGGCTGCCATATCTAAATGGTAACCATGACAAATCTATTTGAAGTTAAGTTTCTTAGTTGGAAAGTTTCTTGAGAGATGAGCAACCAGTGACCTTTCACCTGCAGAGACATTTGCAGCTATTTTCTTAGGAAGATAGAGACACTAGAGCTAGTGGCTGCCACACACAAAGGTTGCCTTGCCTCAGAACTTGCCTCCAGACCATCTCCTCTAGCCCTGGAAAGATAACTTGTCCTGATGGCCCTGGATAGGAATCCTAAGGAGGAGAGTCATGTAGCCAATAGGGTCTCTTCAGAGGAAGAAGACCTATTTGCCTCCAAAATATATTCACTCAGAAAGGCAGCCTCTGAGCTTTAACTTTGCATTGCTTAATCACTTCTTCCTGTTAGCAACATTGATAAGTCCTTGTTAGTCTTCGTTGGACCACGTGTTTTCTTTTTCTGTAGTAAAGGAAGCATCTGTCCATAGGACAAGATGAGGAGAGAATGATACAAGGGGGCTTCAAGATGCTCGTGGAAACATGGATTGCAAAGATAATGCAATTTACCCACAAACTTTTTGAAGTTCCGTGTAAGGGAAAGACTATTTACAGGTTAAATCAGCAAGCTTGTCAAGCCATGGTGATCATACCTTATTTCATAGCATTTAATGGTTTTTAAGATCTTCTCAAGGGTAACAACAATTGTGAGGATGGTTCAGGAACGGGCAGTGTTTCATTCAGTTATGCATAGAGTTGCTTTGAGTCAGAACTGACTCCTCAGCGCCTAAAAACTACAACAAAAATACTTTCACTCCAACATAAAGGCCGTGTGGCTGGTAATAGAAATAACAGAGGTGACCGCTTATCATTACTAATAAGATGGGTGAGTTTTGTTTGTATGTATATATATGTTATATATACGTCCACATACTCCTTTCTGTTCAGTGAACACTTGCTCATTGAATCCTCCTAACATCCCTTTGAGCTGTTATCATTTTACAGCTGCAGACACTGAAATCCATTGACCAGAACTTATCCCACTGCTGTATGTTAAACGGCCAAACTGTGATCCACCCAGCTGCAGGTTCTTTCACTCTTAAGACATTGCTTCTGTCATACGTAGGGTTGCTATGAGTCAGAATCGACTCTATAGCACCTAACAACATTCTCTTTTGAATTCAGTCTTAAACTTGATGCAACAACCCTTCCATTTAAGTACTTGGACT